GGGATATTATTTAACGTCGAAAAATAGCGAGATCAATAATTATTATTTATTATATTCCTACATGATATCAAGTCTTTAATTAAAAAGCATGTTTTGGTAGATATAGCACTGAATACTCAGGTGAAATCTTAAGTTCTAATTAGTAAGTTTGGTTTAGCCGCCCGAAAGTTTTTTTAATATCTCATTCAGTTTTTTATTAACAAAAATAAGAAAAACAGAATTTTGTTGTTCTACCTTTATAAGTATACGTTGTGATGGTAAGAGAGATCGTCCTCAAATTTAAAGTGTATATACACAAACATAAGTTACCAATAATATTTGATAACTACACAGATACTTACCACATTTAGGTTTTCTCAGAGGTAAAACTCGGTTAAAGTCTTTGCAGTTTCACTTTTTCCATTGCAATTTTCTATGCGCATGAAACTTGAACCTGAACAGTTATTGACATTAAATCTAGAATTGTATAGCACTAGAAAGCTTGTTACTTGTCAACAACTTGGTGAGATTGCAGCCTCCTAATGGATTACTTACTTACTGAAAGATAATCTATCTTAAGGTAACACAAACATGACAGTTTTTATATATCAAAGCCTCCAAATTATAGTTCGTAGATTCCTTTTAATACCTTCATCATGATCGATGTCAAAGTTAGTTTTAGTAATAATCAATACATAATGAATACATATATATATATATATATGTAGGTACATATATAATTACATACTTTTCATTTTCTTTTAATAAAAAGTAATCGACGGACCCTAAACATTACTGCGAACTATTCTCTGAAAAGGTTCTTTACTTTCTACCGTTTTTACTTTTTGTTGCAGAGCCTAATTATCTAGATTTGGTTGTAAAATAACTACAGATTCGTTTATATTCACAAGTAACTATAGTTCATAGAAAAAGAAAACTTATAGAAAGGTGATCAAATTTTACTGCAAATAAATAATATAATCAGACCTCAATTGATATTGATTTCGTTTAGAAGAAACAAAAAAGTTAATCGTAAAAAAATTTTATTAGAAAGATGTAATGTATATGAATGGGTATTAAAAATATTTAAATGACATGAAAGTTGTAACTCATTAGAAGGAAGAAATATGAAAAAAATTCACCAAAAAGTTTTCCAACAAAATATAAAACATTTTAAAATTTCTGTTAAATATGCATTATTATTTTGTAGTCTATTTACGTTTAACAGCTAAAACTTTTATAAAATAAATTTAAGTAAGAAAATTAAACAAGCAAACCTTTTAAAATCGCCAAGTTTTTGACATGTTTAGCATACCAATATTCAATCAGAGGAATATGGCTAAACCTCCACCGACGAGGTCATTAAAAGTATTATACTTACAGATATAGATATTGTGGGTATGCTCTACTAATCGTAAAATAAATAAACAAATGAAATATGGATATTATTTACGACATTTAATGTTAAACAATGTCTTTTGTGTAATGCAATACTTTTACGGGTAGAAGAAACCGAAAGCACCGCAATTATTCCTTGGAGCACAAGAGTTCAATGGCAATGGCTTTTACTTTCATATAATTTGTAAACCTTTTGATTACTATAGGTACTACTCGTACCATTCATATTTTAGGTACTACCTAAGAAGAAGGCCTTTCAATGAAAGTATATTAATTTTATATTACAAACTACCGTTTCCTTACAAAACGATAAAATCGAGAAAGGAATAAATTGGTAAGGCGTTTTCCAACAGTACAGAAGAAGTTGATTTTTTTATTTACAGAAACATTAGTTTCTTACAACCAAGGAGCCCACAATCTTTGAAGCTTTATTAATGAATACGTTTGTGAATGGAACAGGGTTTTAATACAGCGGCCGCGTGTAATATTGACCACATGAACTGCCTCAAGTGCTTTCTAGCATTAGGCGTGAATGATAATTGACTCTTTGCAACACCGTGATAAAAAAATAACGACTTTTGTCGAATTAAAGACGTAACCCAATGTCTCAGATTTACAAACATTTCAATTGCTTTTTCATTACTACTTACTGATTTCTTTAATATAATTTTCAGAGAAAACATCTGACAGCGCCATCAAAACCCCGTTATCCAAATACTAAATCATACGCCTAATTAACTAATAAGAAAAATGAGACCCCAAGTTGCTTTATTATGAATACACCTTGGTCTAAAAAATGTCTGGATTAAAAAAGAGAATTAAATATGGAAAGCTTTCACATTACAATATATTCAGGCAAGTATATATATTAGTATGCAACGGAAGTTGCGCGCGCACATGTAACTAAAATTCAATAGTATGAAATTAGGAGAGTGAGTACGAGTTAAATGGCACATGGCACAAGTACATAGTGATATTAATTATATAAATTCGTAATCAAAGTACTTGCGTGCACCCTTTTTTTCTATTTACTAAATGTCCTTTTTTACTCGTACTTCTATAACATTAAGTACCTAATATTGAGAATATCGCATTATGTGAAAAGCAAGTCTCCTTCTAAATATTTTCTTAAGGACGTTTCTATTTTTATTATCTCGCTCAAAACAAATGACTTCATCCTATTCGCAGAATAGATTCACCTTGAACAATAGACACATTTACCTACTTTCATCAATATATGCTAAAAGGGTACAGCCAAGCACAAAAGTATGATCCTTTTGCAATATTATACTAGTGCATGAGTATTCTGTCTGTATGTTGTACATATTGTACAAGTTTATAGTGCGAAATGCAATGGTGCATGATTTGCAAATACATATTTTTTTATAAACTATCTACAATTATTTCTGTTCTTACGAGACATGTCAAAATTAGTACCTAGAACAGTTTTTGTATATCTGTACTATTATTTAACAGTTTTCGAGGTAAATCAAAAAAAGCAAAAGTTTTTAAAAATCTACAATTTAAATTTTGTAATTTACTGTACATAATTAAAATCTTTGATTATTCGGGATATTAACTTCGGTGAATGAATATTTTGTAAACAATCATCAAAATAGCCGAAGAAAATTAAAATCAAATTAAATAAGTGCTTATATCCTATATTTATGTGGGTATATTTAATACATAAAATTATGGTAATTAGTCATCACAACTTTTCTAATTATTATTTTATTAAGCATTATTCATTTAAAAAAGATGCGTTACTACGTTTCCTTTCATTAAATAATTACTTAATAACAGGAGGTAAAATATAATCATTAAATAATACTGCAATAACAATGATTCATATTTAAAGGTCTTTTTTCAATAAAAAATTAATTATACGTTATTTGAAAACTGGTTACACACCATTACACTTTCAGAAAAAAAATAAGTACTTATGGCAGACAGAAACATAAGAACTGAATATAAAGTAGGCTGTGGAAAGCAGGTGCCTAAATTTTATTGGCTAACCGAACTGTGCATGCGTAGTGCGTTAATTACAGTATAACTCAGCGGCTTGCGTTTTGTCCTTTCGTTTGTTCTGTATCGTTTGTAAGACCAAATTTAAATTTCAGCTATAATAGTTCATCTGAACAACCGAACAATTCACAGCCCATGACATATTTACTTATCAAAAAGAGAACAAGTGAAATAGACTGGAGTAAAGGACAAAATAAATTTTTAATTCCAAATAAATGTAGGGCAACGGTAATTACCGTTTATATTGTCTGTGCTTCTAAACTTAAAGTGACGGTCAATCATCCGAAATAAATGCGATAGTAAGCATATTAAATTAATTATTCTCCAAGAAAGCACATAATATATTTATGCATTGAAATATAAATGAAATAATTACGTTCTGTTTAATGACGTGAAGTTCTGTTGTTGTACGTATTTCGTGCTTATTGCAAAACATAAGTTGATTTTCAACGGAAAAGGCTTTTATGACATTTTCTCTTATGTTCTAATGTTTTTTAACTTTTAACAGAAAAATTTTTACACCTTTAGATTTACTAATAATGCGAAAACGTACACTTTAATGGTGTAGTTTTTGTAGTGGAAATGCAAAAGGTTTGTTATTTTATAAAAATTTTATAGGATTATTAGTTATTACCGACACATGCTGAAAGTCCACAATCAAAAAAATAAATGAAGAACATATAAAATTTCAAAAATATTGCTTATTGTCACTACAAGCGGATAAAAAATTCCATTCTATCTAGGTACTATACTATAGTACAATTTATAAGGTCTGTTTTTGGAAAAAGGATGATTACTTTAATCAATCGATTTAACACCATATTAGTTGTAAAAACAGACCCAAAACATGTCCGGATCACCTAATAAGAACAATATAAACTCAATAACGAATGTTATGTTTTACAGATTTCACATGATATTGAAGCTAATAGAAAACATGTTCATGTTATATATAATATATAATTCTAATAAGATAGCTCCTATTTACAATTTGCACTTCAACACTTTATTCTTCTTTCCACCACCTCTGCTATTTTTTATAAACAACATTTACTAACATTTTATAAACGTTTATATACCATTTGAAACAATTGAGTTGTTTGTTTACGTTTGTTTATTTTAAAAAAATGTATGTAATAAGTATACGGTTATATAAAAATTGGTTCTTAAATATATACCTAATATATGGGTAACTTCCTTGTGTTCTTTATGAAAATTATGTAAATAATTATCACTAATACTTTATGGCATTGTAATTAACACTTATGTGTTGAAAATCATTCAATATTTCTAAACCGAAAGTCAATTTTACGTAAGAGGGTGATTTTCTTTTGTTTATTAACCCTATTTTTTAATTAGAATTGGGCAGTCGTAACTATCATTGTTTAAATACTCTCTTCACGATCTAAACCTTTCAGACGAAGGTACTGAATAGCAAAAATTATCTCCGTTCAATCTAAAGTGAACTGTAATTCACAATGATCGATTTCAGCAAGAAAAATATGAAGATTTGACACTAATGCAACGATGGACGGCAGAGAAAGCGAACGCGATCTAATCAAAATTTCTTTTTCTAATCGCGTTGTCGCTTTGAGCCAGATTTGTATTTCAGCCCAACCGAGGAGTATTGAAAATTTGATAAAAAGTGAAGGGAATATATATAAGTCATCAAGTAGCCGGCGCCGTTACTATTCATGTCGGTACCGTGCAACCATGTGCAGACCAATTTTGCGAGTAAGTAAAACAAAGCTAAACATTTGTTCGTCAAAAACAATAACAACGGTCGTTCAGTGATTTTTATTGTTAGTAAAAATGTGCGACAAAAGTGACACAGTTTAAAATTAGTATGAATGTTTATGTGTGTCTAAAAAGTAGTAACACCCAATAATGAAGTGATAGCCATTGCCAGTTGTGAATAGGCTAATCATCCAAAACAATAAAAAATGTGATTTTGATACAATATAATACCACAGATTTACCTTTTTTGAAGTCCAGGACCTTGAAAAAGGATTCCGATACTAGTTTTTTAAAGTCTATTAATTCTTTTCCAATTGTTACACACTTACACACGGAGAAAATTAAATTTTTATGACAACGCAAAAATTATAATTTTCGATTGTAAATGACTGAATTTGCCGCAGAAATATTGGAATTTATTAGGTAACTTATAACTATCTCAATTTTGACATGCTTCTTTAAAAATTATTTCAAGTTCCTTAATTATTACAATTAAATTTGTAATATCAACTAAAT